ACGTATAATAAAAAAAACATACAGACCAATTCATTCCTCCTATACTACCGTTGTTAACTTTTTTTTTTTTACTCAACGCATAAGATTTTGTCAACATAGTGGTTGTTAATTACTTTTAACTTTTGCAGCTAAAATATAACGTTAAAGTCGAGTACTTCAGAGTGATACATTAATATTATTGTATTACAGCATGAAAGCTTCAAGTTTACTTGGTACATTTTACTGGGATCACAGAACAGATTATCTACGCGAGTTGCTGAAAAAAAGTATTGTAAAAATGTATAAAAAATCTTTATTTTGTAACGAGCTACAAGATCGAGACTTCTACCTCGAAGAATTACATTTAAAAAAACCACATGACTTTCACGTTTTGCACGTGATTTTTTTAGTTCACTAGCATATTGCATATTTGCATTACATCAAGATATAACATTCTAGCACTCATGAATTCTGTGCCATATGTGCCATATGTGCCATATTTTGATTAGAAAGTTTCAAAACAAGTGTTCGTTTTGTAAAAAATTTACTATTTCCAAAAAATTTGAATATTAAACCACCTTTAATGCTCCAAACTTTATTTACCTGTCCAAATCTGGCACAGAATTCATATATGCAAATATTTATATTAAATTATAATATCAAATATATCTTTTAGTTTACTTAGTACATTGAATACCCTAATACTACATTAAGTTATAGTTTATTACTATCTAACAACTTAAATCTTCGAATTATTGCATTTATTTAGTAGTATTCACTTAATATGCATCGCACTTTAGAGCCCGATTTAATATGCCTGTATTAATATAAAAGATAAACTTTTTTTTATTAAATAGTAATTTTTTAACTTTCTTCATTTAACTATTCATTGATCTATTCTTTAATTTTTTTTATCTAATTACAAATATCTATATGAACAGTAGTCGACGATCTTTAGCTCAGCAACAAAGAAGAGCACGCAAGAAAGAAGCACAAGAAAGCGAATTGAGCCGAAGGGGCATAGTTCAACAACAAAGACACTTACATGAAAGAGAAGCTCCAGGGAATGAACCAAGTCGAAGGTCTATAGCTCAGCAACAAAGAAGAGCACGTGAGCGAGAAATCTGTGAAAATGAGCCAGGGTTAAGAGTTATTGCCCAACGTGATAGACGAGAACTTGAAAGGATGGAAAATTTAGCTGATACGCCAAATAAAAGATCTATTGCACAACAATCGAGAAGAGAGAATGAACGATCGAAAAGGGCACGTATTCAAGAAAATGTGCGTCATTACCTTGGCCATATGGATTCAGAGTGCTCTTATTGTAGTGCACTTCATTGGCTCGATGAACGTCTCACTGTCTCTTCAAAAACAAACCCAAAGTTTGGAAAATGCTGCAAACAAGGAAAAGTTATTCTTCCTACTCTTCTTGACCCACCTTTACATTTACGGCGTCTCTTCGAAAGTCAAGATGAACAGAGCAAAGAATTTCGTACAAACATACACTAATATAATGCTGCACATGCGTTTACTTCGTTAGGGGTAAATATCGACTCAACTGTCTTAAGTGGACGTGCCTCATATTGTTTTCGCATTCATGGTGAATTGCGTCATTGGTCAGGCTCACTCCTTTCAGAGTCTAATCTGGCTACAAATTATGCACAACTTTATATTCATGACCCGGATATTGCACACCAAATATGAATGGGAAGAAATAAAAATTTAAGCGCTCAAACCATGTGGGAAATACAACAGATTCTTCGAGAAAATCATGTGTTTTACCCTAAATATCGACAAGCCCATGAAATTTTTTCTCAAGCCCGTGAGAAAGGAGCGTCTGAAACCGATTTAACTGTTCGCCTTCATTTTAATGCAGCTACTGATCGACATCATTACAATCTTCCCGCTTCAAACAAAATAGCCCTTATTTTGCCCGGTGATGGATCTGCACCAGAGGGATCTCGAGACATTATACTTCGTTTACGTGGAGGTCCACTTGAATGCATTCACGAAGGCAATCTGGCTTATTTACCACTACACTATGTGCTTTTTTTTTCATATGGTGAGCTTGGGTGGCAAGATGAATTGCGTCAAGTTGTAGTCGATGATAATGGAAGAACGATTGAAGATCAGAGTAATGCACCATGCCTTACACAGATGGACTTCTACTCATTTCGTCTTTTTTCAAGACATACGGAGTTTTCATCTATTCTTCATGGTGGAAAGTTGTTACAGGAATTTATGGTAGATGCTTGGGCAGTAACTGAACAAAATCGGTTAAGATTTTTGTGTATAAACCAAGGCGTTTTGAGGGCAGACATATATCAGGGCCTTATGGATGCAATAGGGGCTATTGCAAATACAGAAATAAATTTAGCTAATCTTGGCCGTCATATAATTCTCCCTTTATCACATATTGGAAGTGCCCGTCATATGTATGAGATTTTTCAGGATTTGATGGCAATAACACGTTTTTTTCAGCATCCAGATATCTTTGGAACCATGACCGCAAATCCGAATTGGCCAGAGATTGTTAATGAATTACTACCTGGCCAGACTTCAGCAGATAGGCCAGACTTGGTAGCACGTATATTTGAGCTTAAACGTCGTGCTCTTCTCCATAACATTAAGAATACTAATATTTTCGGAAAAGTTGTGGCATATGTGTATACAATAAAATTTCAAAAACACGGTCTCTCTCATATGCATTTTTTACTTTTTCTTCATAACGACAATAAAATAAGAGAACCTGTTGATGTAGACAGAATTGTATCCACCGAATTTCCTGATTGAGAGACAGATCCTTTGCTCTTTAAAACAATATTACATTGTATGGTTCATGGTCCTTGTGGCGCACGTAATCCTCAGGCCCCATGTATGGAGAGTGAGAAATGTCAAAAGAAGTATCCTAAAGACTTTAGTGATACGACGTTAATAGATTCTAATGGGTATCCTCTTTACGCAAGACGAAATGATGGCTGCACATTTAATGTTGGCAACAAGACTATCGACAATAGAGATGTGGTACCATACAATCCCGCACTTAGTCGAAAATTCAATT